ACTGTAGCTAGTTTAGCCAACTCCCCTTAGTCTTTGCTATGTTCCTGTAATATCTGAACGTTAACAAGAAGTACACAATCCCCCCTCCACGTTGTATTAACATAACTTACAATAAATCGGGCTGACATTGTCTAGTTTGAACGTTATGTTCGTCAGTTAATGTTAATTAACGTTAGCTTAATACTGCTGGCACATGGACTGGACAGAAGTCAGTCACAACATGTTAACGTTAGCCTTTTTAAAATTCGACATTTTAAGACCTAAAACCAACTAGAGTGCACTGTTAGCAACGATATAAAGTAATTCTTAAATGCTGCTTCTGTTAAAATGACAAATAATGTGTGTATAGTCGCTTAGGATAAACTTACCGCAGTCATTCCACATGAAGAAAATGGCGCCGTGAAAATGTGTGGTCCGTTTGAGACGAGTCGTAGGTGGGCGGAGCTTTCCAGAGTACGTCTGACACTGCGTCTTTTAACACCGTACTTTAACACCAACACTGGGCGGTATCTTACTCCAACTGTTGTAGTAATAACTCTGTAAGAGTCAATGTACTTTGACACTGCATATTTAACACTATGGAATTTACTGTGTGGACAACACCCTGTCGTTCTCTGCTAACATCAAGCTGGTGACCCGATCCTGTAGGTTCATGCTCTACAACATTCGTAGAGTACGACCCTGCCTTACACAGGAAGCGGCACAGGTCCTAATCTAGGCACTTGTCATCTCTCGTCTGGATTACTGCAACTCGCTGTTGGCTGGGCTCCCTGCCTGTGCCATTAAATCTCTACAACTCATCCAGAACGCCACAGCCCATCTGGTGTTCGACCTTCCCAAGTTCTCACACGTCACCCCGCTCCTCCGCACACTCCACTGGCTTCCAGTTGAAGCTCGCATCTGCTACAAGACCATGGTGCTTGCCTACGGAGCTGTGAGGGGAACGGCACCTCCGTATCTTCAGGCTCTGATCAGTCCCTACACCCAAACGAGGGCACTACGTTCATCCACCTCTGGCCTGCTGGCTCCCCTACCTCTGCGGAAGCACAGTTCCCGCTCAGCCCAGTCAAAACTGTTCGCTGCTCTGGCACCCCAATGGTGGAACAAGCTCCCTCACGACGCCAGGACAGCGGAGTCACTCACCACCTTCCGGAGACACTTGAAACCCCACCTCTTTAAGGAATACCTGGGATAGGATAAAGTATCTTAGTGAAACATTCATTATTGGTTTCAGGTGTGTTAGGCCATGGCCAGAGTGACAACCAACAGTATGGCAGACCCCCAGGGCCAGGACTGAGCAGCCCAGCAGCTAGGTATTACCTAAATAGGTATATTTTCGTACGTGGGCATGTTTTCAATACAGACTCCTTTTGTCGTACAGTATTCCATATAAGGCATCCAGACCTTATGAAAGTTGTACATGCTGAGATAAAATAACATACTCTTTGCCAGAATTCAGCCAGCCTTCACAAGACCATAACAAATGCAAATATGTCCCCTTTTGTGTTTTACACCTCCAGCAGAGGAATAACATTTCTGAGTGCATGATATTCAGTTTAACTGGCATATAGTACGTTCTATGGATGGTCTTAAACTGCAGCAATTTATGTCTGGGATTATATGAACATAACTGGGCATATCTGTATCCATTCATCCTTGTCATGACTTGCCCTCATGGGTTGAAGATCAAACATGCCGGCTAGGCAAAGGTTTGAACACCCCCTTTCCTGGGGGTCAGTTTTATGACCGGTTGTAAATACCGTGCAGACATTCTCTTCCTTGCTATGAAGTATTGGGAGAAAGGACCCCTTTGTTAACAAAGGAAGTCTTCCCGCCAAGACTCCAACATCCAAAAGTGGATAATGAAACAATATTCCTACTTAAAAGATGTGGGAAATGGTTCGTGAGGACAATCATGTAAAATTAGTTACTATGTTGTGATGTCATTAAAGACAGTGGAACAACATATCTGTGTCTACTGACTGTGCATCATGACAGTGAAGCCTGTAGAGCTGTTTATACCGTGTCAGTGTGAAAAGTAGAGAGTTAGCTAGGGATACTGACAGATCGTTAACGTTACATTGCTATACTGACTAATAGAAACTCACATTATGCTTAAGAAACTACAGAATATATCTGTCTTCAATTGTTTGGCTGCTGGTTTCAACGTTTGATTCAGGTTTAGTGTGATTGAGGCAAAAATAATAGCTAAAGTTAGTGAGCTAGCTAGCTAACTTTTGCCTAGCTCTAGCTAATGGTACATCATCAAATGTACTTAGGTTGAAACGGGACAAAACAAAGGCTACAAAAGATTTCCATACACACAACAGCTTTTAGATACTGCTACCTGACAGATAGCTAGAGGCTAGCTAGAGCTGAACTGGCGGTGGTAGCTACTAGCTAGCTAACTAGCTGCTAGTAGTTCATTCACTTCAGTCGAGAGGGGATGAAACATTGGCTAACGTAACATGTCAGTTACACTACTAGCTCAGCACTGGGAATAAAACATTGTTTTCTGTCAAACAGCAGTTACCTTGCCAGCTAGATCAGTCAACTAAAGAGTAGCCAGTTTCTGCTCTGCTTGCTTTTACAAATCGGAGAAAAAGCGCAACACAGACAGCAGCTGCCTCTGATCATCTCTCCAGTGCTGGTCCTATACACCAGCGTTTCAGAAGCTTTGCCTTCACACAGCCTGTCCGCACGCTCTGTGGTGTGGTGTCAGACCGTTCCCTGAGGAAGGATGCAACGATCAAGGCTTTAAATGGTCAAATTTGGAGGATGACAAATACAATAATGTTTGGTATAAACTACTCTTGTAAAAAAATGTCTGACAACATGCAGACTTTCTCCATCAAGAAAACAGAGCTTATGATTCAAAAAGGTTTAAAATCAATGAAAGTCTCAGATCCAGGGTGAATACAATTGTGTTTGTGTATTTAAGACATCACACAGGTGTGCCAACTAAAATATATAGCCCAAACAAGACGGAATAATAGGACAAATAGGCTGTGTTTAGACTGGCAGCCCAATTCTGATATTTGTTTCACTAGTTGGTATTTTGACCAATCAGATCAGCTCTTGGCATCCATGAATACACGCCACTGCCACAGTGGGCAATAATTTCGTTCCAGGGCCACATCAGGATTTGTTGTCAGACCGATTTGTTAATCAAAGCAATTTGCGGACCAGAAAAAGGGCATTTATTTTAAAATCTATAGGTCCATTATCATTTCTACATATTTTCAATATGGTTTTAGATGTTAATGTTAGGGATGCACCCTAGACTTAGATAGATGACTCAGCTTTGTATCTGTCCCATTCTGGCATCTGTGAGAGCACGGGCAGCTCCTTTGAGTATGAAAATGTATGCACTCACTAACTGTAAGTCGCTCTGGATAAGAGTGTCTGCTAAATGACTAAAATGTAAATGTAAATGTGTGGTCCTAAATCAATGTTATTTTACCTGAAATGCATAAGGTCGTTTTTTTCCTGGATCTTTGTACAATTTTAACCCATTTTGAGTCACACAAAATCGTGTGTTCTCTACTCTACAATTACTCCACAGATAAAGGGGGAAACCGAGTTAGTTTCTTGTAATCTCTCCTCCTTCATGGCTTCTTCTTCTTCGTCTTCTTCTTCTTCTTCTGTGGACTTTATATGGCGGTTGGCTACCAACTTTAAAGTGCATTACCACCACCAACTGGACTGGAGTGTGGACCTCAGTTCAGCTTTCATTCACCCAAGTGGGAATATGTTCCTAAAAACGCGAGCAGTTTGGATGAAATGATTGAATAACATCTATGTGTAACGCCTCAAACACACCGTGAGTCTATTTGCATTTTTGTACACCAGAAGTACATTAATTTCCAATGTAACGCTGCGTTTGCCTTGCAGCATTTACAGTGCGTTCTGTCGCCTTGATCACACCAACAGCGTTTTGGGCAAAATGGGACGCAACATCATCTGGATATGTCTTCAACAAAAATTCAACATTCGCCTTCCGTTACCATTTTTTTCAAGCCGCGACGCATACAGTTTGCATAAGTTCGATAAATCCAACATATGCACCAAACAGAACTTTTGTTGCACACATATCCAGATGATGCTGTTTACTATTTTGCCTGCCCATATTTCTGTGATCAAGGCGTAACTTTATTTTGCTACGATGGCAGAATGACGAATTCGTGAGGACTCAACAAGAAGGAATATAGCCTACATTATAACGATAACTTGAAAACGAAATATGATAAAAAGTATTAAGGTGGAATGGGCGTTGCTTTGGTGTCATGTTTCAGGTAAGACACTTATTCCATCATAAGACATTGTCCGGGTTTTGGTGTGTTTTTTAGAGGACAAGCACGGAGCACCATACATTAGCGTAAGATAAGGTGTAATGCAATGCATTATGACTGTTGTCCATTTTAATAGCCTATGTATTAATATATATATGTATATAGTATCTCTCCCTAACTATATAAACTATTTAAAATCATGCAGCAGTACACAAGATATTGTGGCCAGTTCTGAAGTTATAGGATGGTGCAACAAGTCATGCATGCAAAGAGCTTTTCTCCTCTTTTGTCCTGGTCAATTTTGACGAAGATTGATGTCTTTCTCTATTTTGTTATAGGTTAGGCCTACTGTAGGTTCTGACCGTTATAATGCTTGAACATGTATTTTTGTGATGATGTTAATTGATGTTAATTATAAAAAATAGGCTATAGGACTAACATAACAGTTTGAGGTGTTTTCCGACACTCGCAAAATGGTGTCAGCTAGATGCAAGAGTTTATAAAAAAAATCATATGCGTTTCAGCACTTTATTAAACAGTGTAAAAAGCTATAGGCTTTTCTAATCTTTTATTTTTATTTTTTATGTCAGTGTTTGCTTATACTGGATGAGCAGGAAAACAAATAGACAGAGAAACACAGAGCACCACGTTAATGTAGACATTTAGGACTGGTTTCCCGGACACAAATTAAGAATTTTGGAATTAAGAATGAATTTGGAACGTACATATAGAAATATGCTATGTAGAACAAATATGCATCTGACATGTTGAATAAGGAATAAAGTCTGCTCTATTCATGGGATTTCTATCTGCAATGTTCGAGATTGTTTTGCAACTTTATGTGGCCATGGTAACATTACCAGTAACATTACCTGCAACTCAATATTAGGAAGGTGTTCTTAATGTTTTGTACACTCAGTGTATATTCTTTATATGTTTGTAATATTTCTGCTGTTGGGAAGATAATTGTTATGCAGAAGGTGATGTATGTTTGTGCACATGGAAGTCTGATTTATGTTTACTATTGGTTAATCATCATTTTGACAATAACTAGTGTCACAGTTTCGGCCGAGGCGGCTCCTTCTCCTTGTTCGGGCAGGCTTCGGCGGTCGTCGTCTCCGGAGTACTAGCTGCCACCGTTCGATGTTTCATGTTTGATTGGTTTTGTCTGTTTGTTACACCTGTTTATTGTTAAGTGTTCATTAGGCACCCTATTTAGTTCTCTTGTGTTTGGTCAGGTGTTGTGTGTAATTGTTCTATTGTCACGTGTTGTTGTTTGGTCCTCTGTTTTGTGCTCTCTTATTTCGTGTTGTTTAAGAGAGTCCTGCACGTTGTGCGTTCGTACTTTGGACAGTCTAGTGTACGTTTGTTTCGCCTGTGGCCTGTTGCCGTGTTTGGCGTGTACTACGGACTTCACTAAAGACATCTGTTTTTTTTTTATCTCTGTGTCCTGCGTGTGATTCCACGTTCCCACTACACTCAACCCTGACAACTAGACTAAATCATTATTCAAATGACAAAAATGTGACTTAATTATGTTTTAGTCAAAATCACTAAGACTACACTAAATTTTTAAAATAGTGCCAAAATCACACTGGTTTGGATAGGAAGAAACACTGTGCTGCTCTATTCATTGACTTATCTAAAGTGTTTGACACTGTCGACCATCCTTTACTAATTCAAAGATTGTCTGAACTTGGCCTGGATCAGATAACTTTGGTAGTTTTGTTAGCTATAGACTAGGTAATTCTTGTATGTTTTACTGTCTATGTAAATAATATTGGTCGATCTGCATTTTTTAAAAACGTACACCTGCATGCAGATGACACTGTTGTGTATGCTATTGTACATGCTAAGTACATGATGTTTTCCAATTCACTTGCATCTGATGATTTATGCATGTGTACATTGGATGCTGCCCACATTGATCGTGTCCCCTCTTATAAATATCTGGGCATCTGGATTGATGATAAGTTTATATTTTTAAAAGCATATGGATGAGTTAGTTAAGATGTTGAGAATAAAAATGGGCTTCTTCTTTATACAGTGCCTTCGGAAAGTATTCAGACCCCTTGAATTTTTCCGCATTTTGTTACGTTACAGCCTTATTATAAAAATGATTAAATTGTTTTTTTTCCCCTCATCAATCTACACACAATACCCCATAATGACATAGCAAAAACAGGTTTTAAGACATTTTTGCTAATTTATATTTTTAAACTTACATATGACATTTACATAAGTATTCAGACCCTTTACTCAGTACTTTGTTGAAGTACCTTTAGCAGCGATTATAGCCTGAAGTCTTCTTGGGTATGACGCTACAAGCTTGGCACATCTGTATTTGGGGAGTTTCTCCCATTCTTCTCTGCAGATCCTCTCAAACTCTGTCAGGTTGGATGGGGAGCGTTGCTACACAGCTATTTTCAGGTCTCTCCAGAGATGTTCGATCGGGTTCAATTCTGGGCTATGGCTGGGCCACTCAAGGACATTCAGAGACTTGTCCTGAAGCCACTCCTGCGTTGTCTTGGCTGTGTGCTTAGGGTCGTTGTCTTGTTGGAAGGTGAACCTTCGCCCCAAGTCTGAGGTCCTGAGCGCTCTGGAGCAGGTTTTCATCAAGGATCTCTCTGTACTTTGCTCCGTTCATCTTTACCTCGATCCTGACTAGTCTCCCAGTCCCTGCTGCTGAAAAACATCCCCACAGCATGATGTTGCCACCACCATGCTTCACCGTAGGGATGGTGCCAGGTTTCCTCCAGATGTGATGCTTGGCATTCAGGCCAAAGAGTTCAATCTTGGTTTCATCAGACCATATAATCTTGTTTCTCTTGGTCTGAGAGTCTTTAGGTGCCTTTTGCCAAACTCCAAGCGGGCTGTCATGTGCCTTTTACTGAGGAGTGGCTTCTGTCTGGCTACTCTACCATAAAGGCCTGATTGGTGGAGTGCTGCAGAGATGGTTGTCCTTCTGGAAGGTTCTCCCATCTCCACAGAGGAACTGTAGAGCTCTGTCAGAGTGACCATTGGGTTCTTGGTCACCTCCCTGACCAAGGCCCTTCTCCCCCAATTGCTCAGTTTGGCTGGGCAGCCAGCTCTAGGAAGAGTCTTGCTGGTTCCAAACTTCTTCCATTTAAGAATGATGGAGGGCACTGTGTTCTTGGGGACCTTCAATGCTGCAGACATTTTTTGGTACCCTTCCCCAGATCTGTGCCTCGACACAATCCTGTCTCGGAGCTCTACGGACAATTCCTTCTACTTCATGGCTTGGTTTTTGCTGTGACATGCACTGTCAACTGTGGGACCTTTTATAGACAGTTCTGTGCCTTTCCAAATCATGTCCAATCAATTGAATTTACCACAGGTGGACTCCAATCAAGTTGTAGAAACATCTCAAGGATGATCAATGGAAACAGAATGCACCTGAGCTCAATTTCGAGTCTCATAGCAAAGTGTCTGAATACTTATGTAAATAAGGTATTTCTGTAAAAAAATATATATACATTTGCTAACATTTCTAAAAATCAGTTTTCGCTTTTTCATTATGGGGTATTGTGTGTAGATTGCGGTGACACCATTTATATGAATGCAACTGCTACTACACTGAAACCATTAGATGCAGTTTAGAACAGCACACTCTGCTTTATTATGGGTGACAGGTTCAGTACACATCATTGCATCCTATATCAGAATGTAGGCTTGCCCTCCCCTAAGTCTCATAGATCAATACGTTGCTCTCTTTTTGTTTATAAAGGCCTCTTGTGCAAACTTCCGTCGTACCTTACTTCATTGTTAAATTACAGACATACGAGTTACCAGACCTGATCACAGGGATGGCTTACTCTAGATGTCCCATTGATCACTACAGAATTACAGTAGGTAAATCTGCATTACGTTTTTTTCCGCCCCATATATGGAATGATCTGCAGAGCTCTCTTTACCTTGACGCTCTGGTGCCTCTAGGGCAATTCAGGTTGTACATTTTGTATAATTTGTGTACATGCAGGGCTCTCTTGCAAAATAGGTTTTGGTCTGAATGGGATTTCCCCGTCAAAATAAAGGTACAAAAAAATTAAGTAATAAAGGATTGTGTTTTTTTTACAGTGATGGCATTTCAGTGATTGTGCAATTAACAGCAGAATAAGAATTTGCTGAGATAGTCTTTATTTCCATGTGAACTTAATTTTAGTGTGTACACTCTTAGAAAAAAAGGTGCTATCTAGAACATAAAAGGGTTCTTCAGCTGTCCCCATAGGAGAACCCTTTGAAGAACTGTTTTTGGTTTCATCACATCAGGCCTTCACAGCTTTCTCTCGATCGCTAAGACACTTTTAATTAAACGTTTCATGAAACTGATCTCCATCATAACCTAATGAGCACAACAGTATACTAAGTCACTCATTGCTTTCACACAAAATGCAAATGCTAAGCACATTTTTGCAAAACAGTAAACACAACTCTCTACAAAAGATGTAAAACTCAGTTGAGTAAATCATGTAAACATTTGGTGACAGCTGATACAAATTACACCCATGAATGTGAACCTCTTTTGCACATGTGCAAAACTTCTTTACACAATTGTTCAATCAGCAATCAGTCCTTTTTCATGCATTAAAATGGTCACTCACCTCTGAGTTGCTGTTTGCAAGGATGGACCAAGTAAGAGGCCGAGGGCAAGGACAAAGGAGAGGTAGAGGGGCCCATAGAGGAAGAGGGGTTCAGATGTGTGGAGGTGGAAAGTTTATGATTACCTTCTACATGACCAGATGTCCCTCCTAGACACAATGACGGCCTATTGTATGGTAATCACTGCAGAGGACTGCCAAGCGTGAATGCGCCATGCAAGGAGAGATTTTTCCTCGCTGCACTGCATGGGAAAAAATCCAGTGTGATGTTGATGAAAACATGTGGCCTGATTGACAAGAACGAGTGGACTGAATGTGGTGTATATTGTATTGGTTTTGCCTTTTTTATTTTTTATTCTCTGTATATACTGTACAGCATCATTGAATTTGTAAAGGACAACATGGAAAAAGTTAAAAGAAAGCATTTTGTTTCTGGATATTCATGCTCTGAGTGACATTCTTTCTGCTTTGGTCATCTTTGGTAAAATCATCTTAGGAAAAAAAGAATACAGCCCATGCTGTGATAATATGTTTACTTGTCTTTTATGGTGCATACTATTATTATAGTATCAGTAAATGGCAGAGAAATATATAGGAAGGTTAACCATGTTAGGGTATATTGATAGTTGTAGTTAGTATTTATTGGGCCATTGTGTAACGATTGATTGAAATAACTTTTCATTAGATAACAAGTTATGTTCTGATGGAGGTAGTTGATTTTGTATCATGTATTTAATGTTTTGAGAGTCTTAATGCATTTTGCAAATGAAATGAGTCATTTTGGCCAATGAGTTTCAGTTGGGGCTGCATGTTAATTGTTTCAAAAAAGTGAATTCTGTTTGGACACATTTTCTCAAGCATTCAAGAAAAACTGTAATTTGCTACATTGCTATGTTATTAGAGAAGAACTATGCTTTTTAAGTCAATGTGTTGATATTGAGTCTCTCTTTATTTCCACAGTACTCTGTGCAGCCCAGCATTCAGCCCAGCCTGAGACTCAGCAGGTGAAAGGCATCGTGGGAAAGTTTCTCTCTTTTCCAGAGAGGGTGTTAAAGTCTGGCAATTTACTTTATGGAGACCTTGGCAATATTGCACAGGTGTACCCTGGTAAACAAAGTAATACCAACCTTGTGAAGAGATTTAAATACCGCCTTCACTGGAACAATGTTACTGGATTCTTCACTTTGTCAGACCTACAAATAGAGGATTCTGGGGTTTATACCGTGGAGAATGCAGATGAAGATGAAGGGAAGTCGACACATGCATTTCAGCTGACTGTGTACTGTAAGTGTGTGTGTGTGGGTGTGTGTTGTAAATGACAAAATCATTAAAGTGGCAATCAGCAGTAGAAACGTTAATAAAGCGTTCTCCCCGCCCCTAGTTCTGTAAAAAGCAGAGGGATAGGGCTGGAGAAATGTAACCACTCAAATTCATAGACAGAGCTATGGATGCAAGGACTGATCAACCATTATATAAGAAGTATAGTTTTAACCATGTTTTGAGACTATATAGTGTTTGTTCACAATTTCTTTGTTTACAAACACAGGAGTAAAACAAGCTGATGGGTTCTCCTAAACTCATAAGTTATATTATTCAAGAATCAAAGGGTACATATCATTAATTTATAAGTCCAAAAATGGATATAACAACTGCTCTTTGCCACTTTAAAGATAAGTTCCAATTCAGCAATTCTAATTTTTTCCTTATTTGTCTTCCAGATGTTCTATCCAAACCTCAGGTGACAGTCCATGACAACAGCTCCTGTAGCGTGGTGTGTTCTGTGGAGAACGGGAGAGAGGTGACACTGTCCTGGTACAGAGGAGGGAAGCTACTCAACCGGCGCAGCAGCCCTGACCTCAACATCACCCTCTCTCTACCTCTCAAGGTGGATGAACAGAACATAGACTCTTACAGATGTGAGGCTGCCAACCCAGTCAGCAAGGAGACCACTGTTACAAATGTCTGTATAGAGAGTGATCCCTCCAAGGTGACAGGTAAAAAAATAAAATAATGTACAGTAGCAATGTTAAATTGCTGATATCCAGACAATACCAAATTCAATATGAAACAATAAGTATGGTAGAGCTCATTTTATGAAACAATGTTTTAATTAAAAAATAGTTTTCTCTCTTTTTACTTTTAGATGGTGATGAGAGGACTCGAGGTTGTCTTATTATTGCTGTAATCTGCGTTTTGTTTGCCTCCGGACTTGTTGGACTTGCAATCTATCTAAAGAAGGGTAGAAATGGACACTCACAAGGCAGGTATTTATCTTTTAGCGGGGTGAGGTCATTCTCCTTGTCAAAGTCAAACCTTTTTAAATGATCAAGGATAGTGTTTTGGAAAAGGTAGGAAATGTTTGCCTGAACAACAGATGCAGGTCAAATGAAGAGACGTCTTCCACACTTCCTCTGCTTGGTCAGACAGTTTTATTATCTCAGACCACTTCTCTAAATGTTGAAAAAGCAGAAGGAACATACACACACACAAGCACACTCTGACAATGATTACTTTATAGCTTCGCTGGCTCCAAAAGGATCGCTAGCACAGACACAGGTATCCATAGTAACATGAGTCGTTAGTGTTTGCAGAACCTGTCTTGGGGGTGAGCATTTGTGCATTTCTGCCAGTTACTCCCACCCACACTGTATTTTTCATTTCCTTTATTTGTCTTTATAGATTCACCCGGAAGAAAGCAAGATGAAATAGAGTATGCAGAGATAACTCAAATTAATCCAGCAGATAACCAGGTTAGGAATAATGCTACAGGCTGATAAACATAGGAGACGTAATACAGCAGCTTTTGCAGCCCTCATGGCTACAACTATAGGATTTATTTTTGTGCCAGTAGGTTAATTTGGTCTTGAGTTGCACAGACCACCTGAGTTTGATACCAAAACTGGTTGGTTGGGTTGCATAATGAGAAGCCACTGTAAGGTTCTGTATTTATTTTCTTAGTCAACCTTGTGTTCTTGAACGTAGCCCTGCTTCTTTGTGTTCTTGAACATAGCCCTGTCTTTCATTTTTGTTAATTGATTTCACCTGTGTTTGTTACTCACCTGGTCTCATCAGCTCCTTATTTAGTTCAGTTCATTCTGTTTGTGCCTTGTGAGGTATTGTTCGTTGACTCTACTAAGCCTTTTCCTAGCTTGTTTGTGAGAACCAGTTATAGCCTTCAGTCCTAGTTTTTGAGTCTCCTGCCTGTTTGCCTACCTGTGTATGACCATTGCCTACCTGTGACCACGATTCATGCCTTTTGCGAAGGCGAAATAAACACCTGCCACGCTCTGCACGTGTGTCACGTTCGTTTACAGACGGGACGGACCAAGGCGCAGCGTGATATGCGTACATGTTTATTAAATATTAAACACAACGACAAAATAACAAACGAAACGAAACGTGAAGTCCAAGGCAACACAACATACCTTAACTGGAACAAGATCCCACAACCCACTAGTGCCAATAGGCTACCTAAGTATGGTCCCCAATCAGAGACAACGAGCTACAGCTGCCTCTGATTGGGAACCACACCGGCCAACATAGATCTACACGATCTAGATCTAAACATAGAAAATGCAACATAGAACATACCACACAGAAAATACACACCCTGACTCAACAAATACGAGTCCCCAGAGTCAGGGCGTGACAGCGTGAATCTACACCTTTTTCTCCCTGAGTATTCATTACAGCCACACAGCACATATTGTATATACACTAAACACAAATATAAATGCAACATGTAAAGTGTTGGTCGCATGTTTCATGAGCTGAAATAAAAGATACCAGAAATGTTCCAAATTCACATAAAGCTTAATAAATAATATGCCAGTTAGCAGACGCTTTTATCCAAAGCGACATACAGTCATGCGTGCATAATTTTTTTTGTGTATGGGTGGTCCCGGGGATCGAACCCACTACCTTGGCGTTACAAGCGCCGTGCTCTACCAGCTGAGCTACAGAGGACCACCCATACACAAAAACAATTTATCTCTAATGTTGTGCACAAATATGTTTACATCCCCATTAGTGAGCATTTCTCCTTTGCCAAGATAATCCATCCACCTGACAAGTGTGGCACGTCAAGAAGCTGATTAAACAGCATGGTCATTACACAGGTGGACCCTTGCCCAGGCATGTGAAATCCGTAGGTTAGGGCCTAATTAATTTATTGACTGATTTCCTTATATCTTTAAAATCTTTAAATTTTTGTTCAGTATAGTAATGCCTTTAAACTTCCCGTGTCTTTTACAGTATTTGCCAAGTCTGTGGACATTTAAAGCTTGGCTTCGTGGTTCCTCCCACTAGCTTTATGAATGGTTCTAGATGTGTTATGTTGACTGTTGAGTTTCATACTGCAGAACAATGAAAGTAGACAAGAGAGCGTCAGACATGTCTTGTTTCTTTCCTCTGGCACAAAGTATCTAATAACGACACATATTACTCTTTTATTTCCTTGTCCCTCTCAATCCTTCCTCTCCCTGTTTAGGAGGAGCGAACAGGTGTGCTTGGAGACAACCCTAACCTGACATCCGTTTATGATCAAATCCAGTTATATCGCATGGCGAACAGCGATGACATCGACACTGCATGGAGAGAGAAAACAGGAAGTTACTGAGAGGGTGACATGATAATTAATATCCAAGAGAAGGCGTTACATCCTAAAAAAGACACAATTATAGTAAATATCCATCTAGAAAACTTAATGGAGGCACAGATTATTTGAGAAAATGCCCATTTAACCATTGCACTGTTGTTATTATTTCAGACTTCCTTTGTTGGTAATTCTCAGTCTTTTGTTGAATTGGGGCCTCGATTAGATTCACTGATACAGACAAATTCAATAGCTATGCCTAGGGTTATTAGTAGGATGATCACTCTTTTAAAGTGCCCATTGTCCCAATGTATAGGTTCAAACAAATGGAATCTATCTTTTTAATACAATTCATTAGTGTGTTTGCTATTCTACTGCTGGGCCAAAGCTTATTTTCAGTAGTCTGTTCTGTTGTACACAGCTCCCCTGTATCTTTTCATAGCTGGTCATTGTTTAGCTTGTCAGTGGATATCAGCTGTGTGCATATAATAAATAGAGCAGGTGTTTGAGATAAAGCCACATATTCCTTAGAAGCAGTGGTTGTTAGGCTACGTTGGAAACAAAAAGTCCCCAAGTAAAACATTTTAGTTTCACCATGTACATTCTGTTGAAACATTTCTGAGGGGTTGATCTTGATTTGCCTTTTGACTCAGAAAGTGATCTTGGGTGACATTTTACTCTTATTGCTTTTCGCAAAATGCAGACCTGATTAAGTGTAGTTCAGGTCTTGCTTTGACAACTGTGTTCATGCAGTTTGAATGTACAAAATCAACAGTTTAGTTTATCATGATGGACCATTTATTGCTTTTCCTTGTCTACACAGTTTGTAGCTCATTATCTCTTAAGAATACAATCACTCCCTCCTGCACGCTCCTGCAGACACTCCTTCTATTAGAGCATTTTGTGCTCCACCTACGTTAGCCCACATATATAACTGTGAAAAAGAAATTCTATCGATACCATAGTGAGTTGTGGCACTGTAGGCTATTTCATTTTTATAATTTTGTTTTTCAGAGTTTTGAGATTGGCAACATTTCTCCAGAAATACAACTCCATATTGTGGTTTTAATGTAGCCTACTTCTGGGGTCAAATTAGGAGGGACCACTGTAATTGTTTGGTGGTTTCAAGTGCGTTTCTCTATTTATTGAGTTTAAGTGTATTTGGGACGTTTTGACCCTGTTACTTTTCATTTCAAGCAGCTGTACATTTCTAATTTGAAAAGAATGATGACTAATCCTATTAAAGTTCAAGCATTGCTTTCAAGGAAACAATGTTTTTCTTCTAATGTATTTTCCACATCCAGTGTTTGAACAGTTTTATATTTCAGCATACTGTACTGTACATACTACACTATTCTGTACTCTGAGACAGTGTACTGTAATTGTTAGTGGATTTTAAATAATGTGTTTTTTTTATTTTTTTTATTTTATTTCACCTTTATTTAACCAGGTAAGCCAGTTGAGAACAAGTTCTCATTTACAACTGCGACCTGGCCAAGATAAAGCAAAGCAGTGCGATAAAAACAACAACAAAGAGTTACATATGGGGTAAACAAAACATAAAGTCAAAAATAGAATAAATATGTATACAGAAAATATATATACAGTGAGTGCAAATGTAGCAAGTTATGGAGGTAAGGCAATAAATAGGCCATAGTGCAAAATAATTACAATTAGCATTAACACTGGAATGATAGATGTGCAAGAGATGTGCAAATAGAGATACTGGGGTGCAAATGAGCAAAATAAAAAACAATATAGGGATGAGGTAGTTGGGTGGGCTAATTTCAGATGGGCTGTGTACAGGTGCAGTTATCGGTAAGGTGCTCTGACAACTGATGCTTAAAGTTAGTGAGGGAGATAAGAGTCTCCAGCTTCAGAGATTTTTGCAATTCGTTCCAGTCATTGGCAGCAGAGAACTGGAAGGAATGGCGGCCAAAGGAGGTGTTGGCTTTGGGGATGACCAGTGAGATATACCTGCTGGAGCGCATACTATGGGTGGGTGTTGCTATGGTGACCAATGAGCTAAGATAAGGCGGGGATTTGCCTAGCAGTGATTTATAGATGGCCTGGAGCCAGAGGGTTTGGCGACGAATATGTAGTGAGGACCAGCCAACAAGAGCGTACAGGTCATAGTGGTGGGTAGTATATGGGGCTTTGGTGACAAAACGGATGGTAGCAAAATGTTCTCAAACCTTTCTATGCTTTTACGTTTGGACTGTGGTCATGCATTTTTGTGCCAAAGTGCCATTATTGTAAGTAACATTATTGTGAGTAACAATGACAATTTGTGAAATATGCCATGTCAATCAATATGCAAATTTAAACATTGAGTACCTTAACACTTTCAATTTGATTGCTGATTTATAGCATAGCTCCACATTGTCAAGTGACGTTTTCAACGGAAATCACGGAAGTGGGATACGAAGCAAACTTTCCCTGATGAAAGCAGTTAATCCAAGCCTGAATTCAAACAATAACGACACACATAGCATTTTTGTTGTATTATAACTGGATTATAGCTGCCATCCAAATGTTGTTAACGATATATAGGCCGAATGTCATTGTCAACTCCATTACACTGAAAAGTTACTCAAACTTCAACCAGTAAATGCTAGCGAAGGCTAGCTATGCTAGCTATTCTACCAGTCTTTCTTAATGAGTGTTGTTAGCAAGCTAATAGCACATCATCAAACAAACATTTCTATTTTTAAGGGGTATGCAGTAGGTTCATAACGATATCACCAAAGTATGTTGTATTGGACATTTCAAACAACATTACCAGCTAATGAGAAAACAGTCATGGTAATTAATTTAAGATAATTAACAAGATTTAACAAGGCAACCTTGGGGCAAATTTTAGTAGGTACCAACGACTGATTTTGAGGGATTTTTACATCCGTACACCACTAGAGAGGTGTGGCCGCTGTCAAACGTCATTCATGAGGAACTATCAGAGGTCAATGTCTGCGCCGGCCCAGACGTGGTGACGTCATCACGTTTTATTAAATTAAACCCCTGCCTTTTTTCATTTGGCCAAAAGTCTGCCCTCTCTCCTCTGTCCTCATTCCTCCGTATCTCGGAAACCAATAAGTGGTCGAGGAGAGTGTCAATT